CCCCCCCCCCCCCCCCCATGGTTTCCATCAGTATTTGACCCTGTCACACGTCATGGCTTGAAATGAGAAAAAAATCAATTCTGTCACACGTACAAACCATCTATGGTGCACGGCAGCTACTTTTTTGGTGCAGCCTCCTCCGTCACATGGCAAATATCAGATACGTCTTCACTGGACTCTTTCATTTTTATCAATGGTCTGAAGTTGACAGTAATGGATTACTTTCTCAAACACAGTGTGTGTAACATATGAGATGGGCTAATCCTAATAACCGTAATCACAATCCTGTCAATGGACTGAACCCGCAGTGTTAACCCAGTGGCATTTGAATTGTGTAGAAAGTGGCGCCATAAAATAAAGATGAGGGATGACCTGGCAACAAAACAAATAACCCACTTGCTGCAGCCAGTCACCAGGGTAGCCAGTAGATTTAAACGAATTTCAGATTTATTTAAACTTTGCTACAGCTCCATTTCAAAGGGTCGTCTTGTTTTTGTTTGTGAAAGCTATTAAGTCTGGAGTAAGCTAATGTCTTTTATAGATGGTTCTATGGGGGTAATTTGATCAGATTTGTCTGTATTTATAATTCTATCATCAAGTCAGAGCAGCATGACCAGTTATTTGAGAGATCAGCATCCCGGTATAAATAAATTTACTTATTTATTAGAATTATTTTGTTCAATCTACCAGCAAAGAACTGAAACGGGCCGTTATTGTTTTCTCCATTATTGTTTCTCTATGATATTACTTGACCATTGTTTACTCACAATTAACCCAGTGATAATTGTTGGCGTGTCACAACAACACAAGAACACAAGACGCTTTGTACAAAAAAATCTGAAAATCCAAGAATTATTTATCTCACTTAAGGAAAAAATTGTTTGTGAAAGATAACAGATTTCAGAATGCAACAGAGCAGTATAAATTCAGTCAGTCCATACACAGTCAGCAAGCAAAACAACCTCAACATCTGTCCAACAGTCATATTCTGTCAAGTCATGGTCAACTAACTATTATTATTTGTTTCTTGTAAATATTTGCTTCATGTCCTGGAGAAGAAAGCTATTGGGAAATGGCACACCCTTAGACAATGATTCTCAACTTAAAGTAGAGAGGAGTTTTATTCCAATATCAAAGTTCAAATGGTCTCTGAGACTGAGATCGACCAGCATGGAGACGTACGTACAAGCAAATCGATAAGTCAGCTCAGTCAGCTGACATCTCTGCTTGTGTGTTCGCCATACTTTAGTCTCAATGTACATAATTAGGAATGTTGTATTTGCTTTAAAATATGTTATTATTACAAATACATTGACATTGATTGATGATGTTTTAGAAAGATGTTAAATAGTGTGAAATTGAAAGCCCTGGCCCAATACCATAAGGTTTCTTCACCTGGAACCGTCCGTTTCCACCGTTATAGGGTACAACCCGCAGACTTGTTTTGGGTTTGTCATGTTGTTGTTTTTTTTAGTCTTGACTGGAATAATCAGGGATCTCGATGCATTCAGCAAATCTTAACTTAGAAGGAAGCTGTGTAAATAAGGGATCTGATAGAAAAGTAGCTGAACTCGTTCATTCTACAACAATATATTTGTTCCATGTAACATTTTGAAAAATAACTCATTTTTAATGGAAAATGAAACAAAGTACAACTTCTTTGATGTCCGTCTGTACAATTAGAATCAGGATTTAATAGTTGTACTGTTTATTTTCTCAAATTGACTTTTGGCAAAACATGGCAGTCAGCCATATAAAAAAAAAAATTAAATGATATACATCTAAAATTAAAATGTTTTCATCCATTGGGGTCTGCTGTCGTCAGAATTAATTAATGCTGCAACATCCCAATCAAACCTGCCTTTCATCTGAGCTCAAGTTTCTATGCTCATCATGTTTGTCAGACTTCTGTTACTTGCTATTTCATTCCTTGAATCATTTGATCTATTCCATTTGTCACTGGTACGTAGTCTTTGTCATGTTGTGGCCGGGTCACATGGATCATTTGGGCCATGGGCCCACAGTGGGGTGTGCAGTAGTAATAATGTATTCTTAAAGTTTCAGCAGATAAATGGGTCAAAGTTGTTTTTGTATGACATGAGAGAGGGAGAACATACGGAACTGTTTGGTTTAATACAGGGGCAGTAACTAACAGTTTGGAAATCTCTGACTTAAGTGCCGGCGTGCGGTGAATGGTCAGAATGGCCTTTTTATCTGGACCTTCATATTTATATTCCTCAAGTTCTAGTCATTTGAGTTCAAACTCACTGGGAAGAAAATGTAACATGACTTAAATTATAGTGTTAAGGCTGCATTATCTCCCATTTATTTTGTGTGTGGGGAAATATTAAAACGGTTTCTCACATTGATTGGCTCCCAAGTACCATATGATGAGTTAGTCCTGTCTTCTAATATGTTATTTAAATGAATGATTACACACATCTTTATTTGATTAACCGGCCTTATGTACTACAATGATCACATAGTGTTCAGTTTCATTTCATCTATGCCTCAGTTTGGATAAATCCGGACCGTTCAGCTGCCACTTAGTTAAATCATCTATTTTAAAGGAAATTTCCTTTTGTTCTTGTTGTCAGCCACCTTCTAGTTTATCAAATTAGTTATAAATTACAAAGAACTGTCCATGAATTTATTCTACTCAAACATAGACATCAGAACTGTTCATAAATAAATTGTAGAATCTTAATGCTAATCATGGGTATAATTTTTAATGGCACTGATGATATTGTGTTGTCATACCCAATGTGTTGTTAGATGGTGTGCTCACCACCCATTGTGTGTGATGTGTGTTACTATTAATATAATTTGTCTGACAGAGCTGTACTTGAATTATTTAGATGAAAATCACCATTTAGTCCAACTATGAATCTCTGTTGGTCTCATGTCCACTAGTGCATCCATGTGCTTGTCAGATACTTCATTCATGTGTCATACTCTCTAAATGCCAGCTTTCTCAATGGTAGCTTCTTGATGCCTCAGGCCTCAATGATAGCTTCTTGATGCCTTAGGTCTCAATGATAGCTTCTTGATGCCTTATGTCTCAATGGTAGCTCCTTGATGCCATGGGTCTCAATCATAGCTTCTTGAGGCATCAGGCCTCAATGGTAGCTTCCTGATGCCTCTGGATTCATTGATAGCTTCCTGATGCCTCTGGATTCATTGATAGCTTCCTGATGCCTCAGGTCTCACAATCACAATTTAAATATGTTAGTAGATTTATAATATATAGAGTGATACTTCCTGTGGGCATGGATTATTTTAGATGACCAGTCACCAGTTCAATAGATCACAAATCCATAATTCCATAGATCACAAATCAATAGTTCCATAAATAATATATTATATAAAAATTATCATGTTAACATAATTGATTCTTCTGTCTTTGCTGTTGTTTGCTAATGACAAATTTTTCCAAGCCCAGCAGACCTATGACAATGTACTTAAATAACACCTGCAGTGTTTTCATGAACATGTGATATCTTTTTTTGTTGTTGTCTTGTCTTGTCGCCTTGTCATCGAACTGGATTTGATGTGCTGAGATTTTTAACATAAACATGATTTTAAAGATATAAATTATGTCAAATTAACTTTTTTAAAAACTGTTAAAGCTTGTTCAATGTGAGCGACCTGTATTAAAACCAGTCATGAAAAAAGAAACATCTAAATAATTCATAAAATAACTTGCTATTTTTATACATTTTTAAAATACTGCGGTCACATTCTATGAATCATTTTTCATCCATTATTTTTGTGTGTGATTAGAAATGGATTTTGATTTTTACTAGTAGATGGTATGGTATTTATCATATAACTTGATTTTTTTTTTTCAAATAGATAATTTATCTGGGTCTCAGTGGTCTTGGTCATAGCAGACTATTCATCTGGGTCTGATTGTATCATGCTCGTAGCAAACAATATATCTGGTTCTCAGTGTGTCTTGCTCATAGCAATTTATCTCGGGCTCGGTGTGTCTTGCACATAGCTAATTCATCTGGGTCTCGGTGTGTTTTTCTCATAGCAGTCAAATCATCTGGGTGTCTTGGTCACAGCAGACAAGTCATCTGGGTGACAGTGTCTTGCTCATAGCAGTCAAATCATCTGGGTGTCAGGGTGTCTTGCTCATACCGGACAATGCATCTGGGTCTCAGTGTGTCTTGCTCATACCGGACAATGCATCTGGGTCTCAGTGTGTCTTGCTCATAGTCAGTTGATCAGCTTGAGGATGTTTTATGGTATATTTTTAATATGTCTGGATTGAACATTACTTTGACTTGGTTCAATAAAAAACAAACAACAACAACAACAACTTAGCTTTGTTTTTAATTTAAAAAATATGTTATAATATTTACACCAACTTTAAATGTAAATTTTTTTTAAAGCAAAACAACTATATAATTAAAATAAATGGCTGAATCTCCAGCAAGGTACAAATGAGAAAATTTCATTTGAGAAGTCAAGCCAATATCATTGCAGGGGATTTGATTGTATGGGTTTCAAAGACTGAAACCGCCTAGATAAGATGGAAACCACCTAGATAAGACTGAAACCGCCTAGATAAGATGGAAACCACCGAGATAATACTGAAACCGCCTAGATAAGAT